GTAAAAAATTTAAAAAAATATTATATAAAATAGACCCATTGAAATAAAATGATAATACTCTAATTCATAGTTAATAGATAAAACCATACAAAATACTCATGTTTATTATCAAAGATAACTGCATCAACTTTAAAAAATAGACATCATTGCAATACACTAGAAATATATATAAGAATGTGATAATAAATCAAAAAATTAGTGCAATCCTCTTCAAATGAAAAGTGGGTACTTCCTTATTTACATTGTAAACTTAAGTAAATGGAGTAATATAAAAACAAATGAAAGTAAAAGGAACAAGACATTTACTTAAATATTGAAAATGAAAATAAGGTAATCTGCCTGCTATACTTGTGTACTGCGCTCTCTGGAGCAGTTTAGGGGCAATTTGCAGATGTCAACATTTTCACATCCAATAGTGGATTCTAGGCTTGCAGGAGTCAAGACCCCTTTTGCCCCTATGTGGATCCGCCCCTGCGCATGCCTAAACTGTCCAGCTCCTATGACAGAAATTTGTACCACATATATATGAATAAATTTTATTTCTTTTGTTATGATCAGATTCAGATGGGAAGATTGCAATCTTGTGTGAAGTGAAGTCGTCCTTGAGATATTGGATTGAATTGCTGAATGAAAACCCATTTTTCTTTTTTTGGTATGAAGTTTGAGAAGATGGTAGTGAATGAAAACCCATTTTTCTGTTTTTGGTATTTATTAAAAGAAATGTAGAATCGGAGTTGCTTGGAAGAGATTATGTTACTGGGAAATATGGGCAAATGGGCAGCTGTTGATTGATTTCTACACAGCTGGGTTTGTTTGGTTCTGAGAGTAAGTAGCTCAGGTCAGGTCAGCTGGGTCCCCGAGAAAGGAGGAGACAATTAGGTCAGAGACCAGACCAGACCAGATCAGAGGCTTTATATAAAATATTAATGGACTGGACAATGGAGATGGTTGGCTGGTGGGTTGGGATCCAAAATTATGGTGCTAGTCGGTGAACAGTCACACCTCTGGACTGGTCACAGGCTCTCTCTCCTCTCCTTTATGTTGGATTTGATGGAGGTAAAGTGAATCACGCATTTTCTGATCCATTTAACACCATATGTCTTGTTGTGTGCCAGTGAACCATGGAAAAGTAACAAAACACTCATTTTCTGTTTTTACTGAAAAAATTGGGTCCTCAAATAAAATATTATCATCCTTCAAATCCAGATCAAAGGTAAATCCATTATGCATATGTTTCAATCCAGGCACGCAGCTGACTTTTCTTCAAACGAACAACATCCGGTAAAATAATTAATCACTAGTTTGTCTCGTTGCGCAATTGATGGTGATGTGACTGATTTCATAATGTGATTAACACACACACTCTTCTTTCCAATCATCCCTCTCTGTCCTACCAAACTTAACATGCAAGAGCCGAATGTGTCAAAACCCACTTGGTTGAAATTGAACTGAAGCTTTGTCTAGTTGTGACAGATGCTACCCAGCTCACACATGTGAAGTTTCTAAGCGTGTGAAGTGCACAAACTGCAATTGCATGTTGGGAATGGAAACTAATGTCCCAAATCACAAGAAAGAAAATAAAAAAAGAGAAATGGTTACAAAACCCAATACAAAGATTCAAATCCCCAAGAATAAGTATGGTCATAGTCGCAGGCAGTGATTGCTTTTTCACCTTTAGACTTCAAATCCACACTGAAGAGCCTCACTTTTGTCCCCCTCCTTTGTTCTCGTCTAAACATCCCAACCAAAAGCACCCCCCTTTTCCTTCTTATATGCTCACTTGTGTCGCAAATATTCCCTCACTTTGTCCTTTGAACCCTTCACACACCCCAACACCACACAACACACAACACAAACACAACAACACACTCGGTAGCAGGACAATTCAATTGTCGTTGTAAAAAGCTGTGTTCTTTATGTTCAAGGAACGTAGTGTTACAAAGAGACCCAAAGGGGTTTGGGCCAGTGTTTAAATCGAAATGAAATGACCCAAAATGTAGAACAAAGATCACAAGGCCCATCGCCCATAAAAGAGAACAAAGCCTACAAACAATACAAAACAAGTAGAATTCTATAGTAAGGGCCTTATCGCTTAACTGTTTGATCAAATTAGTTAGTCGTTGAATCAAATTAGTTAGTTTGAACGAACGGTTAAGAGATAGGACCCTCACTATAAAATAACTCTACAAAACAAACCTATAAGAAAACTCAAACGGACCAATTGAAAGAACCAACATCAATGACAGCAAAGACCCATTTATTTAATAGAATGTCGCGTGAGTTGAACACAAGACCAGCCCATTGAAAAATATGTCATAAGCCCAAGACCCAACTTAAAACGGAGCTCACTTCTCACGTGCGGTTTCCATCACACGTGTTCGAGCAAAGCCCGTGCCTTTCTCCTTCTTCACCCTCCGGCACGCGCTCTCTCTCTCTCTCTCTCTCTCTCTCTCTCTCTCTTTTTTCTTCTCAAACTGTCAGTCTGACCGGCCATGGCGAAGCTTAGAGTCGATTAGTCACCACTTTGGGAGGGCACGAGAAGAGCTGAGAGAGCTCAGAACCGTCGATTAACCGCCACGTACTCCCATCCCAACCGTCCCCTTCAATTTCAGTCGCACAAGCCCATTAGCCTTTTCTTCAAGGTCTGTAGCCTTTTCAATAATCTGTCAAATTTTTGTTTTTTTATTAACTTAATCAGGTTCTTGTGATTAATTGAGTCAGTAATTGGTCAGTTTGATGGGAACTGTTATTTTTGCGTCGGAATTCACTGCCGAGTAAGTTTGTAAACGTTGGGTTTGTGAGTTTTATCGATCTTGTGTATGATTAAGACGTGCATTTATATTTCTTCTGTTGATGGCGTTGTTGAACGGCTTAAAGTTGGTATTTTTCAGTAAAATTTATCAGATTTGGTTTAACAAATTGCTATTTTGCATTTCTTGTTGTGCGTATTCTTTGTCAATTTTGTTTTTGGAGAAAAACCCTATTTTCATAATTCCTACTTCCTTAATTGTTTTTATTGTGATAGGTGTTTCTTGTTGCTTGTGGTTGCTATAGGGTTAAGTAGTTTGTGCTTTGGGGAAATTTACATGATTGTAGATGGGAGATACTGAGGCTACTGTGAAGTCGAAGAAGACAGTTTTTGTAACTGTTGGAACTACTTCTTTTGATGCTCTTATTAGAGCAGTGGATACTCAGGAGGTTAAAGCAGAGTTGTTCAGGAGAGGGTATACCCAGCTTCTCATTCAAATGGGCCGTGGATCTTATATCCCCACCAAGGTATTTTTTTAAATTTCTCTGGTTCTAGTTACTCTGCATGAATTGTGGTTAGTTTCTGCTGCTCACAATCTACTGTGAAGTAGCAAACTCTAGGGTTGCAAAGCGGAGGTTTAAAGAATGCATGAGCCGTTTTATTTTATTTTATAATGCAGTCTGAAGGAGGAGATGAGACCCTTGCTGTAGAATACTTCACTTTTTCATCAAGCATTGCAGACCATCTGAGGGCAGCATCTCTTGTGATTAGTCATGCAGGTATAATTCGGATAGCGTCTTCTTATCTTTCGGAAAGTTGTATTTTTTTCCCTTGGCTTTTAAAATTCATCAATTTCAAATGAATGTTTTAGAGGAAAGTTTATGAGTAAAATAAAAGTACGAGAAGAGGAAAACTTTGTTAATTGTGAGCCATTTTCATTTACTTTGATCCTTGATATATCATGGGCTTGATGTTTTATGTGAATATTATTCTACTGTGGTGCAGGGTCAGGGAGCATATTTGAGACATTGCGGCATGGTAAGCCGTTAATTGTGGTGGTGAATGAAGATTTGATGGACAATCATCAAAGTGAGTTGGCAGAGGAACTAGCAGACAGGAAGCATTTGTACTATGCTCGTCCGCAGACACTTCATCGTGTTATAGCAGACATGAATTTGGATTCCCTCATTCCATACCACCCAGGTGATGCCACACCTGTCGCCAAGCTTGTCAGTCGGTTTCTTGGTTTTGCAGACGACTGATGGAATTGTAAAATTTTATTACTAGCATGATGTCCATTTGAATAAAAGATTTGCAATGTGATAGATATTGATTGATCATCCTACACGGTTGAACCAAATGAAGATTAATAGGATTGGGTTGGCCAGGATCTCAAATCCTTATGATACCAGATTGAGAAATAATTTCGTTTGCTTAGTTGAGACTCTTTTGACATGAATAACTTGGGATGCATTGTGTTAACTGTTTCGACTTGGCCCCACATGACTTTATTACATACCCATGTTATGCACCACCTAACTTGTACCAAATGTAACGGCAAAATGTTACCCAGTCACAAAACAGCAGTTTTATCTCTCATTCACCTATGACATCTTAATAGGAAGAAGAGGGATGCAAGGTCGGTGTCTTGTATCCTGCTGCGTGCCCGACTGATCGTAGCATTGCTCTTGGAAGAAACTGATGGTAGGCAAGCCTGCGAGTATCTGCGCATTATCTCCTTATTCTCCCGATTCCTGGGTTTGAAGTTGCTTTTCTGTTGTTTATTTTTCGGTGGCAATTGTATAGTTGGCAGACTTGCCAAGTCCACTTGAACTGGTGAAAAAAGTCATTATCCACCTGTCTGCAAGTCAAGAATAGTGATAAAACGGAATTTTCGGATGCAGTGGATTGTTTATAATTAGGAAATAATGATTTGAGTTGAGAATGGATATGAAATGGTGCAAAAGCTTCCAAGATTTTCTTATACAGAGACACAGACAATTCCTTAGAAAAATACAAAAGAAGAGACGAAGGAAGTACACAAAACCATTTGGTATTCACGAGGGGGAGAGAGAGAGAGAGAGAGAGAGAGAGAGAGAGAGAGAGGAGAATCATGTGAAGTAAAATTACCAACGTTGGGGAGAGAGAGAGAGAGAGATGGCATCGTACTTAAAAGGGAAACAAAATCAACCTCCCAACACTACCCATATACAAACTTCCACCTCAACATTACTAGACCCACCTCTCTCTCTCTCTCTCTCTCTCTCTCTTGCATTGCTTTGTGCTAATGAAAGTTAACACCATTGCTGCTGCATCTGCAGGGCCAATAGGCCTTGCTGCAGAAAACCAGACTCACAAACATCATCATTCACATTCTCAACCCTACAGCCACCATCACCACCATGGCATTTTTCCTTCAAAATCTGTTCTCATTATCATCATATCAACCATTTCAGTAATGGTCCTCCTTGCTATAATCTTTATCATATTAATGCTTCGGCGTGTCGTCAAGTCCACCAAAAACAATGGCAATATTTACAAAGAGAGCAGCATCATGAACAACACAAGTAGCAGGTTCATTGCTCAAACCACAGTGGCCTTTAATTCTAGCCCAGGTAATAAAACATACCCATCTTGTGTTTCATTTTCATCTTTGCTAGGATGTATTTTTGTAATTAAAGACATTATTTTGAACAAGTCCATTGAATTTTGAGTGGCAGATGTGAAGGGTGGGTGCCTCCAAGGAGGGAACTCTGGAAGGTCAATTAGAACACCTATAGTCACAGCAGCAAGCAGATACAAAGGAGTTCAAGTGTTCTCATACAAAGAACTTGAGGAAGCCACTGATGGATTTAGTGAAGCAAATGTGATAGGGCATGGTGGGTTTGGAGTTGTGTATAGGGGGGTCCTCAGAGATGGGACTGAGGCAGCAATTAAGATGCTGCACAGGGAAGGAAGGCAAGGAGAGCGTTCCTTCAGGGTTGAGGTGAGTGACTTCATTTATTACTTTTTGTTCCTATTTGCTGCTTTCAATCCCCTCTTTCTTTGGTTAATTGCTGTTTCTGTGTTTGCTTCTCTTCCTTTTGTCATTATAGATGTAGGCCTTTGTATTGTCAACACAGGCCAATAATAGATTTTTGTCTCTTTCTATCTCTACATCTTTCAAAAAATGCTATCACTTTCTAGTCCTGGTGTGTTATCTAAACCTCACTTAAATAAGCAAATATTGGGGGTTGACTTAAGTCCTGGTTATGTTTTGATCAAGGAGTTTTTTATTTCATTTTTATGTGTGCATGTCTTATTAAACAAGTTTAGACCTTGAATTGCAGAATACAATATTGCCTCTAGACAATTTCTGCACATGGTTTTGTGAGAAAAATGAAAATAACAAATGCCTCATATCTTTGTATTGTAGGTGGATCTGCTAAGCCGATTGCACTCTCCATTCTTGGTGGAGCTGCTTGGTTATTGTGCTGACCAGCACCATAGGCTCCTCATATTTGAATGCATGCCTAATGGTACTCTGCAACACCATCTACATTCCACAAACAAACATCAGCCGTTGGATTGGGGCACCCGATTGAGGATAGCTCTTGATTGTGCTAAGGCCCTTGAGTTCCTCCATGAGCATGCCATCCCTTCTGTTATACACCGGGACTTCAAGTGCACCAATGTTCTGTTAGATCAAAACTTTCATGCCAAGGTATCTGATTTTGGATTGGCCAAGATGGGTTCTGATAAAATCAACGGTCAGATTTCGACGCGTGTGCTGGGGACCACAGGATATCTGGCACCAGAGTGAGTGCTATATCATCTGTAATGGACCCCCTCTCATTCTCATTAAGATACCAACAAATATATAGGCACAGCAATAGAAGCATGCACATGGGAGCATATACTAAATCACTGCTATGTTAGCTGTCATTTTTGTATCATCTTCAGGTGTTACTTGGGCAAAGCAAAAGGCTGTTAATGAAAATGAAATTGCATACCTAAACACCATTTTAGAAACTGCATATTAAGAAGACTTCAAAGAGACCCTTTGATTCAAAGATGGAAGTACAAGAAGAGCATCATGTGTGTGTGTGTGTGTAATAGTTTCTCAACTTAATGACTGTGATGTTTTATTTTTAATGAGTTTTGGACGTTTGGTGATATAGGTATGCCTCAACAGGAAAGCTTACTACAAAATCAGACGTATACAGCTACGGGGTGGTTCTTTTAGAGCTCTTAACAGGGCGTGTGCCGGTAGACACCAAACGGCCTCCCGGAGAGCATGTCCTTGTCTCATGGGTCCGTCAATGAATAAATTCATCACTTTTTCCTCTCAATAATATTCAATCATCATAGCATACAATGTCCCTATACATCAAACTAAAAAGCAATTGATTTTGGTTCTATGATTTATCAGGCTCTTCCAAGGTTAACTAACAGAGAAAAAGTATTGGAAATGGTTGACCCAGCTCTACAGGGGCAATTCTCAAAGAGGGATCTAATTCAGGTCAGCTTAGCTTAGCTTCCTATAATCATCATCAGCAAATTATTGATTCTAAATTTTTCTTGCCACCATAAATTGTTGTTCTTTTTTACAGATAGCAGCTATTGCAGCAATGTGCGTCCAGCCAGAAGCTGAATATCGGCCTCTAATGACTGATGTTGTGCCTTCTCTAATTCCTCTGGTTAAAAACTCCTGCTCTTCTGGTTCGTCTAGATTTCAGAATCATATGACAAGTCCAAGGTATTAGCAGCTATGTGAAAACAGCAACTTGAAGTAAACCGTTCAGATATCTGATCAGCCTTTGGCAATAATTCTTCTCACTGAAAACATGTCAAGTTTTCATAAATAAAGTGAAAAGTGAAAAACCAATGGTCTATAATAGATTGAGTTTCAGTAAAGCTGACTCATAAAGGTGAAATTAATGTTTCATGTGCTTCAAACTTCACACACCACATGGGAAAACACCAACATTAGAAACAGCCATTTCTTTCGATTCTTTGTCAGAACCTTAACAAGCAGACGAGATCAAGCAGCAAATGCAAAGATGTTAGAAAGACAGAGGACATGCATTGTTAATTAGCTGTGATTATCTCCTGTATGCAAAGCCTTTGATTTGAACACCATTGCTTTTGTTGTAAATTAAGAATTGATAAAGCTGTAACCTTTTTTAGTTGCCATCAAAGATAATTTAGTCATGAAAGAGAAAGTTACCATCTTTTCCTGGAGGACCATATGTTGATTATATATATGTTGTATTTATAATCCCTAATTTTGAAAATGACACCACATCATATCATGTCAAATCCGATCCATGTTCATTAATCCTAGTATGATTTGGATTGGACTTGAGAGGAAAACCTCGTTATTAACATCGTAAGCATATATCATGATATGCCAATGAAAATGACACAAACAAACAGCACACCCCATTAAAACATCGAACTCATAATTTCCTTTGGTCGTTGTGACCGAACATATTTGTGGGCACCAATGACATTGAAAATCAACTTAGAAAAACGAAAGAAACATAACCCATCAAAACTTGCTCTTCTTGCACACCCACCCACTTCACGTTAGTTGTATTTCTTCAAAAAGTTATAGTCTTTTTCACGATGGCATTTGGGGCAATGCAAGTCAAATATTACATGATTATTATACAAGTCAAAAACATAAACTTGATATGATTAAATTAGTACGATTGAAGCAACCATAGTTCATTACCCATGGTATTTGGCTTACCCATAACCCAAAAGATCATTTCACAAGAAATAAAAATAAAAGATTTGATACAGCTAAACCCAAGTTACAAAGGAGACCCCTCAACTTCAATATGGTCTCAAAAACAGAACTGTAACCCACAAATAGAGAGCTACAGCAACTAAACTTGTTAATGCACTAGTCTATGAAGCTGGCCATCTTCTTCCCAATGGCATCGAATGGGACAAGTTACTGATCACTTTGATCTCATCTCTTCAGTTTCAGCTTCCATGGCAGCACTTGTTTCTCCTTTTTCCTCTCTTTGTGTCTTGCTGTTCTTTTTATTAACTTTATCAGCATATTTGGAAAAGGCAACAGACAAGGCTGACTTAACAGTCAATTCTGGTTCTTTCTTCCTGCGTTTGCTTTCGTCTTCTGTTTCCTCCGCTTCTTTATCTTCTTCATCCACTGAACCAGGTTCAGCATTGCTTGGGGCAGAGGTTTCTGGAACAGCAGGGCGGCTGGCAACCACACGCTTAAATGGTTCATGAAATGTATCATACAAACGTTTTACCTGATACACAAGGTATGGTGAGAAATTAAAGCCATAACCAAAATATTTACAATATACAACACAATCCACCAAACAGAATGCCCATGCCAATAAAAACAAAAACAAGAAACCATTATTTGTTATGTCTCACTTCGAATGTTGGTCTGAACATAAAGAAAAAGGAAAAAACATTAACACAAATACCTTGCGCTCTCCAATCCCAGGGCAACGAGCTAGATCTTCCATCGAAACATCCATGATATGAGAAAGAGACTGCAATAACATGACAATGAGCTTGATATCAACATTACCAAAAAGCACATTCTCTGCCAACACAAATTCTCAGTGAAAACTGCAGCCATACCCCAAACGTAGTACCAAGGGTGACAACATCAGTCTTGTTAACATGTCGAACTGTCGTTAACGCGTGATTTAGCTATAATATAAAATAGACAATTATCAGTTCAAGGAATTCATAATTCTGTACATCATACAATGCAATCTTGATATTTAACATATTAACCAAATAATTTAGTAAGACTCTAATTTGGCTTTCATGAAAAACATAATTGATTAATTGACCTCAACTGTATTGATACCCGTGATAAATAGTCTGTATCCATTTGACCTTGAATAATGTCAGCAGGCTTGTTTTCATAAACTTTTATGGTCTCCAAGTAGCGACCACATTCCTCCAAGCTATAGAAACATATTAAAAGCAAAGCTGGGTCAAACAAACCAACAAAAACTAGGCTACTGGGAAATAACCAAATGCTTAAACACCTTTACAAACAGATGTTCAACCTCTGTTAAAGAAAAAGTTCATCATGTTCTTGAAGAAGTTTACAAGAAGAATAGTGAATACAATTTGATTAGGATATTTGAAGGGAAAAAAAAAGCAACCATAGCCTACATTGGATATTTGATTTGCAGTTTCAAATAAAATATACGTACCTCCAACCACATAATAGGGTGCATTCATGAAGCAGAGCAGTTTTAGTAACTTCAAGTAAAGGCTTAACTACATCCTCCTGAAACCAATGAAAGCAGTAACCAAATTTCTATTACAAAGATGAAAAAAGAACTGCTTGGTCTATGTGTCCAACTGGATTGCAAGCAAACATAAACCAGGAAAAAACAAATTACTATTAAAGTTATGAAAGACAACTGATTGGCACAATGGCTTACCACATCAATATGGCAAAGAACAACACGAAGCTTGAAATTCTTTTGCAATTCTCTTATACGGTAATATAGGTAGTCTGGATGCAGCAGATGATACCGAAGACTGCAGCAACCGATCATCGCCCATGTTTATATATAAAACTAATTATACATGGATCGAATTAAATTTATAAACTTCATCTTATAAAAATGAGCATGAGGTAGGCATCATCAACTCCAGAGGTTATAAACACTTCAAGCAGGAAAAGTTAAGGCAACAACATATCTTGCATGTCTAACTGTTAGTCACTTTTCCATGTTAACATTTCAGATAACAGTTGAAACAGATTTACCGCAGAGCATCCTAACTATAGGCTCATATGTATATAAAATAGTAAAACCAAAGTGGAAAAGTTCAAACCTTAGATAGAGAGCACATGAGCTTTGTCCAAGTAAGTAGTCACAAACAATATCTGCAAACTCCCACCTCACATTTCTAATATGTTTGAGCAAGGGATTTCCCTTCTGCATGGAGGAATTAGATTTTACACGGAGTTGAAAATAGTAGAACTGCAAAATATAGTTGTGCCACACACTGCAAAGTTTAAACTTCTCCAGCTCATGAACTTTACTCCACCCAAAGTTAAACGCATAAGAAAGAACCACCATTATTTTAAATATTACAATAAAAATGCACCGAAAATAAAAAAATACTGGACCTGTCTGTGGCTCACAATAATTGCATTGCGACGCTGAGCAGGTGATGATGATGATGCAACAGCATTTGTAGGAGCAGATGATGATGGAACATCAGATTGACCAGTTTTGCTGAAGCAAGAAAAAAACACGAAAAAACATCTCAAAGTCAGATACCAGGCAAAGAAAATACAAATATTCTAAAACGAGAAATGGTTCAATTAGCTTAAGTTGGCAACCTCTCAGTTTTCTGAGCTCCTACGCAACCAAAATGGCAGAAAATAATAAAGAGCCTAACATTTCGAATCAAAGTGAATTGCTTCGTTTGGTTGTAAGGAAAATGGAACTAGCAAACTCAAACATTTTAAAGACTACATTTTTAAGAAACCAAAATATTAAGAAAACTTCTCCTTTATCTCTCCCAACCCACCAGAAAAGTGTGAGAATCACAGAACTTTCCCATGAACCGTTTTCCACGAAAACAAACAATAGCCCACATTTCCACAATCAGCAACTAACTTAAATCAAAATAAAATTATCCATCAGAAGCACAATGCACGCACAGACATAAAAGGTTTGGATTGAAATTGGTAAAAGAGTACCTTGAATTACCGGTGTCTGAGGCCTGTAGGGGTTGCGAGGAGGTGGCAGGGGGAGGAGGAGGCGAGTAGAACTCAGAGGACTTGACGAAGGCAAAGGCTTGAGAAAAGCTCTGTGAAGGAGTGAACAGAGACTGTGGGGTTGATTTTGACTGTGAACTCTCAAGAACTTCTTGAAAAGATGGTATTTTTATCACTGTCTTCTTCTTGTTTTTGTTTTGGTCTGACTCTGTGTTTTGCCCTCCGTGTTCGTCTTCCATGTCTCCCTCTCCCTCTCTCTGATGCTGCTTCTCTTTCTTTGAGTACGTTGACGGATTTGTGAGGGGTAGTTGGGTTTTAGGCCTGGGCTTGAAGTGACGATGGATTGTGGACATTTGAAGCCCATTGTATTGAAAATTTTTCAATACTCCCACTTGGGCTTATTATTTAAAACATTTTCTATTTAGAGAACTTTTTGTTTTGTTTTGTTTTTTTTTTTTGTCGATTGATTAAAATTAGACAACTATATATGAGTTTTTGGGTGCCAATAGAAGCATGCTTTTCTGCGAGAAATTATAGAATAAGACGGTATTACTATGTCAGTATGTGATACTTTTTGGTCGACCGGCTGTGGACCTCGTGCACATATAATTGTTGGTGAATAGTATAGGTCATCATCCTATCTCTAAATATAAACACACTCTTCTAATGCATTTGTGGGGTGAGTTGTTGGCAAAACTTGGAGTGAAGGTATGGGTAAGGAGTGAGAGAGTCGAAAACTTTGATTAAAGATATGTTCCAAGATATGATATGAGGGCTTTTTTATGGCACTTGAAAGTCAAAAGAATAATTTATAAAAATCTAATTGCGTGGAAGTGGAAGGCTGGAATATGTGCCTGCCTAAAGGAGAAATTGGTTGGTAATTTCAAAAAGTATAAAAAATGAAGCAGAAAAAAAAATATATATTCTAAGCATGGAAAGTGGGAGGAATTAGTGCCATAAGTCAGTCAAGTTACAGATATGATGGGAAAATGGTTTTAGATTCCTTCCACTGCAACTTATAAATAAATATAAATGCAGACACATTATTGTTTATGTTATATACATTATTTATGCATTAACATGTCCATCACATCATATTTGTAATGGTTGTGATTAATGCAATTTTATTACGTGAAATTGAACTAAAACAGTAAAATTTCATTTGCAATAGATGCAATTGTAATAGAGGGTGTTGTGTGACGAACCCTCTATTACAATTGCAATATGCTAATTATGAGACCCACATGCGGCATGCCAATAAAAAAATATAGTAATTAATGCTTTATGTTGTTAAAAGCATCACAATGGTTGTTCAATACTTCAATATAATAGAAGAAAATACATTTATTTATTTTTCAAATATATTCGAAATTTGTATATTTTTAAAGATTTCTTTGAGAATATTGCAATAGTACAATTTTTAGTGTTATTAAACTTATTCCCATACTTTATTTGAGTATGTTAAAAAAAACGTCCAAGTAGATATAACTATTGATTTAGGAAAATAGTTATATCTAAGAGCATCTCCAAGGGAGATGTTAAATACCAAACATCAAATTTAAATTTGATGTCTGATGTGGCAATTTGACATCTTACACAGCTTTACACTCTACCCGAAATGTCAAATTAAATTATTATTTTATTACATTTTAGTGTTGATTTATTTTTAATTAAAAAGAAAAGAAAAGAAAAAATAATAAAATATTAATTTGACATCTTGCTTTTGGGATGTCAAAAATAACATTTCAACCTCTAGCTTTTATTTCACATCAGCTTTAACACATCGAATGAAGTGATGTGAGATACTATTTCTAATTGTTAAATGTCTATGTGACACTTTTGACATATCAGTTGGAGATGCTCTAAACTATTGATTAGCAAAATTAATTAGCATAAACAGGTACTTTACTTGTATGAATTGGGAAACAATTAATTAGCATAATTATTGTGAGGGCAAGAATCCAAAGTCCAATAGACAAATCATTATGCATTATGGACCACAACTTGTGTTCTGGACCAGAATGTATGTCTATAATATTGTGCTACATCCACTACTTGTTTCTTGACCACTTCCACTAAAACTACTTTTTATTTTTTATACTTATCTTTGTTTTCATTCCCCTAATGCTCAATAAAAATTGAAATAAACTACAACAAATAAAGTAGTTTAATTCCATTTAACAAATAAATAATAAGAAATATTAATTCCATTTACTATCTAATTTGTATTTCAACATTGTCATACTACATTCACTCGGGTTCTAAATTCCAGAAAATTACAACAAAAACTCTTATAGACAATTTAACAAATTCATCTAAGCCCGTGGCACGGTGGCGGTAAATTAAAAAATACAAAAGAATAAAATTAAACCGGAGGCCGAACCGAGCCACTCCTAGACATCCCAGGCTCCACCGCTTTCTCACCCTCGTTAGCCGCCGCCCTCGGCGACAGAAGACTCGACATCCGCGTCAGAAACGACGGCGTTCTCGAAAACACCCACCTGTCCGATTTAAAACCCCGGTCCAACCGCTCAAGCCTTCTATAGTTCAGCAACCTATTACTACCGCCACTCTCGCCCATTCGCGGCCCACGCCTCGAACTCCCTTCTCTGGGCAACACCAGCAAGCTTACGGACCGGTTCAGTTTCCGGTTCATGATCTGTTTCCTCACTTCGACCGGCAATCTCAAGGTGAACCGCTCCGTATCCTCGCCCGGCTGAATCACAGAGTGCCCGGTCGAGTGGGACCGCGGGAACAGCCTACGCAACCTGCTCGATCTCGATCCGCGTGTACGGTTCCGGTTCAGCGTTTGGTTTATGCTCACCAACTCGGGTTGCTCTACCGTTTCCTGGCAGCCCTCGTCTGTTTCCGGTGCCCACTCAACGGCGTCGTTCTGAGCTTCGACGTCAACCGGTACATGTTCCGAGTTGAGCACAGTGGGTTGGGTGATTGGATCGCCGGGTTGAGGGACGAGGTTAGCTCGGCAGACGGGACACGTGGTGTGCGAAGCCAGCCACTCGTCGATGCACTCGGGGTGGAACACGTGGTCGCACTTGGGGATCAAACGCAGCGTTTCGTCGTCCTCGAACTCATTCAAGCAGACAGCGCACTCGAGCGCGCCTTTCCCGATTTTGAGCCCCTTGACTGCGGAGTATTCGAGGGTGGGGAAGGTGTCGATGACGGCGGCGTCAAGTCCGCGGGAGACGCCGCGGCGGGAGCGGCCGGTGTGGGTTCCGCCGGCGCGGATGCTGGCGGATTGGGCGTCAGAGCAGTGGCGGATGTAGATGGAGAAGAAGCCCATGAGGAAGAGGGCGGCGATGAGGACGACGATGATGATGGCCATGGAGGGGCTGAAGCGCTGGTAGCGGTAGGGTTCGGGGGTGGGCTGAGCTCCGACCGGGGAGATTGCCGGCGAGAGAAGCAGCAGGAAGAAGAAAGTGAGGGCCCCATGCTTGGCGTCATAGGATAAGATCGGAGTCATGGCGTGGTGTGTAACGTTCGCCGGGAGGAGGGCACGTTGTCCTTGTGATGTTAGTTAGCGGATGAGGGAGGAAGAGAGAGACTTATAAATGAAAAGAAAAGAGAGAGAGAGAGAGAGAGAGAGAGCAGAGAAGGAGTGAGTGTCTGGGAAGCTGTCGTGGGGAACAAAGAAGGGGAAGAGCTGAAGAAGACAAATTGAAGCGAGGACCATGGGAGGGGTATGGGGAGTAGGGCCCACACTATCTCTCCTCTCATTGGAGTGGAGTTTCTCTGGCCCTTCGTGAAGGGTGACGTCAGCAGCTAAGTCGTGGATGGCGTGCCACATCGACTCACGCGGTGCTTTCGGAGACAAATAAAAAGTAAAAAATAATAAAAAATGGGGTCTTGCAAATGCCTCCCTCCACCAGTCCCAAATTCAGAGTTCAAATCGTACGTCGTATTTCCATTCTTCTGGATGATGTGATGATCTGTACAAAATGGACATAAATTTTTGTCTTTTCGTTAAAATATTGTGAATATTTGATAGTTGTTAATATTTTTTGCTTGAAATTAACGAGACATTTAGGAATACATTTTATATATACTAGAAACAAATCTACTATTGGATTACATTGTTTTTGTATCTCAAATTTTTTTTTCCTCCCTCAAAGCCAAAACGCATGAACTTGTTATATATGATTGTCCGCAATTCGTGCCTTTATTTGACCAGAATAAAGAATCAATTATTGCGTATGAAAACTATGACTTTCATTTTTTATTCAACAGACTGGAAAAGTATGATAAGAGCATATTGCCTAAAGAAAGGTTATTGACCATGAAAAATATTATTGAAAAGAAAAAAAAGTTGAGGAGGGGTTTCAATTTTATACATGGCCTTATTTATGATAAAGACTTTTATGAAACATGAATATCACTATTTTGTTATTTTCGGTCCATAACACTATAATACGCACGATAATAATTTCACATGACATAATACTATTGATCAGAAAAAATAAAATAATGTTATTCTCGTTGCAACTACCCTTATTTACATTTGACAGCCTATCTTCTCGCAAAGTAACAATTTCCCCAAAAAAATAATAATTTGAAAGTGTGGTAATTGTGTAATATTTTATGTATGTGTTTATAGGTTAGCAAAATAGTACAACTAAGCTAAAAGTCGGTAAAGGTTTGAAAAATAAAGTGGGTCAACATTTCATAAGAAGTTGAACAAATTTTTTTCTTACCAGCCCAAATCGTACGGCTGTCAGAAAGTATTGGAGAGAAGAGTTGCAATATGAGAAGTACCGTAAAAGTTTCTAGAAGAATCTAGTTTTCTAAATTAGCTTGTTAGGGGGAGCTTCTACAATGAGGAGTTAAAGTGAGGAGATTATTTGAGGAGACCGATCCGACCGTCAAAACATTTAAAATATTTAAGTTTCATGATTTCTTTACATTTGTTGATGGTGAGATTTGACTTCCTCAAATAAACTCCTCACTTTAAGCCCTCATTATAGTCTTTCCGCTTGTTAGGTGGTCATATCAATTCAAATAAATGGGTTGGTTCTGTAACCACTAAACAAGTAGCGTGGTCCGAAGGGAAGAGCACGGTGTGGGCCTTTGCATTTGACTTTATATAGCCTTGCATTTATACACAAGACAACATCCAAGCGAAATTCTATAACATAACCAGGGCACCGTATATGGACCTTTAATATAGACATTTATATCAACTATAAGATTATTTTATTAAATTTAAGTGAAGTTATTATTCAAATAAATTCTAGATGTGTCCATATATGACATTCATCATAAAACGACTCCACAACTCAAATAGCGTTTTTAAATGATTCATCTCTCACAATAAATTCCACACGTACACCAGTTTTCGACCAAAAAATATAAAAACTCCTCACATACGTGTCATATTTATACGAATTTAATTGTGCTTGACCCAAACTAAATGCATTTCTTCAATTATTGTAATTTGAAACGACTAAAATATTCATGAAAACTTTGCTCGTTAACATATGCGGATGGATATACATCATGTGATCAGTATTCGAGGCTTACAAATCATGAGAAATGAATAACTAATAGCCCTTCACGGCTAATGAGATGTGCATTCGTAACTTACATTTACATTTCATGAGCAACTCATGTTAACGTAATTTACAATTCGGTTCTAAAACTTTTTATAATAATTTCATATATAATTCTCCCTTGATTTATAAGTTGCATGTGTGAAATGCGTTTGATGCTTTTTTCTCGAACGGGTTTTGTATGAATTAGTCAGTTCTCAGTTCTTATAGATGCATTGCCATTAGTCAACTTATTCTAGTGAAAATAAACAAATTAGACAGAAATGGACATTAGAATTATTTTCCTCTCTCTCAGAAAGTGATGGGAAACTCTTATTTACTCGGAACTAATTAAATAATTCATTTGACTTTTAATCTAAGCCCCAAAGGTCATATGATATCGTCAAACTTTGAATTAATTCTAGGTCGCCGACCAACAAGAATTATACCTGAAGTCTAACACCTCCTCTAAAAGTAAAACTATGCCTTAGAAAATTCAAATTAAATTATTCATTTCCTTTTGTGTCACCATCGTGAGACAGAATATTGCAATACATGTAATTGAATAATGTTGTATTTAATTTTTATATTTATACAAACGATATTAAGATCGGGAGGAATCGAACCCAGAACTTCTGGTGTAGAAATAATGTTTTTAACAATATATGATTGTATCAGTTTCCTATCTAAATTATAGTTGGGCTGTTTGAGTGCTCAGAGTTTCCCGTTGATTCATTGGACCTTTGTTCTGGCCTGTCTGGGGCTGTTTGCTCATATGCCTTTTACATTTGGGCTTTCAATAAAGAGTTGTAAGACCCAAAAGGACCCAAAAAATGAAGCCCATGAGGCCCGTAGCTCTGAAGCCTGGACACAGCCCAAAAAGTCGTTAAATTGTGTGTATTTATATGTATCAACGAGGGTTAAATGCCAATTATAGCCTTTTCAAACAAAGTAATTTTAAGCCAAGGGTACTATAGTAATTTTAATTTTTAAATAGTAATTCGACCTCAATTTTCCGACCGACTTTCTCTCTCTCCCACCCTTTACTTCTTCTCACTCAATGTTCTCATGCAGTAACTTTCTTTAAGCAAATGCATAACATGTGTCGAGATTTCTAGTATATTATGTAGCATTATAGTGAAATCGGTTGCCATGTATAAAAGAAATAGATGCTGAAACTCTTATGATGCCACGCCACGTATAAAATGAGATTCCCATTACAGAGACAAGGGATTTGATTTGCAGATTATACATAATAAAATTCAAGGTTTAAAAGGTGTGTTGTTTCCTCACAAATCACAAATCACAAATCACAATAGCAAAGTATGGTCAAAAAGGTTGTCATAATTATGTAAAGCAGATGATACATATGGGGGCTACCAAAGAAAACAAAAACAAAGGCGTATGGCAAACAGCTCTCTTAAATTTTCATAATCAAATTTGGATTTTGCTTTGAACGAATCATGACTAGGTCTTTCAAGTCTCAAAGAAACCACAAAAATAATGCAAATGTCAACTTCAAATTGGGGCCCAAAAGCTAGCATGAGGAATATTGGGCATGGATGTCACAAAATACTCTCTCTAGGCCTCTCTCTCTCTCTGCCTAAGCCTATGCTGTTTGGATTTTTGTTTAGGTTCAAAGCAACCCTCATTGCAATATTCGATCGTAATCATGATGAATGATTGGTAATCATAGTGATCAACCTTATCAACCTAAATAAATTCTTATTTACTTTTTCACCCTACGAAGAAGCATCCGCTATAATTAATTCAGATGGCCCAAAGCCCATAATTGTCCTCTGTTTGTAATTCTGGGCTACCTTCACTGACCTAAACAAGCACAAGCTCTTCATCAGTCAACTCCATATATTTTCTTTTCTTTTTGGACATTTTGTATTTCTTTCATAGGAATTATACTTCTTGTATTTGATATTTGATGAAAAAAAATGACTTGTCTAGTTCTTTGCTTGTTGGTATCCGGAATTTTGTGTTAAATATTTCATCATCGCTTTGCTCATATCATATATGCCAATAAGTTTTAGGCAAAGATGCTTATACTTTTTCAATGGGGGTCATAGAATTAAGGGAAAGCCTAAAAACTAGCCCACACCACCTAAATTCTTTGCTTTCTGAAAATTCTGCTGAATTGCTCCATCTAATTTATATGTCAATGTTGAGTGATTATAGAATATTACGGTAGTACATTTTGTATGCAAGAGTGGAACCAGGAATATTTCAACAAGCGAGCTAGCTAAAGTTATTACCTAAAAATTTATTATAAATTTTTTTATTGTATTTACAGTTTTTATAGTCCTTTTAGAAATAAAAGTATACATTAAATCATATAAACCACGCTTTTCATAGCTCTATTGACTAATTTTCATTTTTTTTTCTTTGGATATGAGTGATATTGAGGAAAGGGGGGGAATCAAACCTAAGACAGGAGTAAATAATCTTAACTTAACTATTTGAGCTACAAACCCTTTATAATTTCCAATAAACTTTAGCATTAATACATATTAACTTAACTAGTTTTTAAATGTTCCGCCAATGCTTGTACACATGTTATATAAGTGGATATTTATTTATTAATACTATTCCTTGTCGTCTATCCATATTATAATACATGTACAAGATATACAACGTGACCATACTACTGTATTAATTTATAACTTCTCGTCAACGTCCATCATATTCAACAACAAAAAAAAGGAGACCAAACTGAATCTTTTTCTTTTCCTTTTTACAAAAAAGAATGACTATATACTTCACTTACTGATGGTGGAATTTTAAATTTACAAGTGGATAAACTTGATATAATATATATGAAAAATAATTTCATAAATAGCTATGGGTACCATTTTTATATGAAATATATATCGTTTTCATTATTATTGTATCTTTTGTGCATCAATTATTTATTCGGGCATTCTTGGTTTGCTTCCAAAGAACCCAACCAGAAACCATTGGTTCTACAGAAACTGGTATTTGTTGCGGCCGCTGTTTTTTGAATGGCTGCCCTCCTGTTGGGGGAAACTGTATAATCTATAATGTGACAGTTCTTGAGGTTTCATCATCAGATGCCACGTGTACGGCTGAAA